AAAAATACTAAATCAAATAATAAAACTAAAAATAAAATAAAAGAAAAATAAAGAAATAGAAAATTATAGGCGTGACACTATCAATATATATCTTATATACAATTCTAATAAAATTTTTTCAGCAATATAAGCTATCTTAATAACAAAAAAAAAATAAAAAAATAAAAAAATTATTAATTTTGCTAAATAGTTATTAATATATCTTTATTCAAAAGTTTAATAATAATTTTATTTTTATATAATTTGTTATATAATTATCTTATAATACAAACTCATATAGCCTAATATATATTTGTAGATGCTTTGCTTTAAACTACTCAGATATTATATGATTTAGTATAGAAGTATATATTCTTTACTATACTTAAGCTAATAAGATATACATAAAATTTATTATTTAAATATTAATTAATATCAATATCCTTAGATTTAATAAACTTTATTAAATAAATACTTATTATATATCTGTTTATATAGTATTTAAAGGTCTTTTAATTAAGTGTTTTGGTTTCTAAAAGCTAATTTATAAAGAATTCTATAAGCAACAAATTAAATAACAAATTACTGTTAGCTTTAAAGATTCTATGAGTAACAAAGTAATAATTAACAATTTACTTTAATAAATTATAAAAGAACTCTAAGTATTTTGTAGTCTACTTTTATTTTTAATAATCTAGTTATATAATATTTTAAACTTTAAAAACTAATTTCAATTAAGTTAAATATATTAGATATAAAAGCTAAATTTCTACTAGTAAAATCTGTTATATTTTTTTTTAATATATTGTATAGATTTGATCTTATTAACCAGATTTCATATTACCAACTTGTATTATGAACTTATTTATCTTTTTATGAAAAATTTTTAGTTTGCTATATATAAATCCAATTAGTAGTAGCAAACTATTAGAAAATAACAGGATCTTGATAATAGCAAGTCTTTAAGAATATAAACTTTGCTCAAATTTGCTTATGAATAAACCTATTTAGTAGTGAGTAATTTGTTACTAAAAAATAATTTTCTGATAAAAAAGCTAGTTTGTTATATATAGCCTATTAGCAATAATTTATTAAGTTTATATTTTTTCAAACATTCTATAATTAATCTATTATTAATAAATATTTAGCTTTTTCTGATAAGCTCAAATAATAAAAATATTAGATATACAGAATTTTTTTAGTTTGCTATATACAAATTTAATTAGCAGTAGCAAACTATTAGAAAATAACAAAATCGAACTTTATTCAATTCTGTTCATAAATAGATCTATTTGAAAATAAATAATTTATTACTAGGAAGTTCTGTTGATTTTCTGATAAAAAAGTCTAGTTTTTCATATACAGATTTATTTAGCAATAACTTACTAAGTTTACATTCTTTCAAATATTTTATAATAGTTTATTGGCAGTAGATATTTAGTTTTTTCTGACAAACTCAAGTAAAAAAATATCAGATATGTTGAATATCTTATTATTTTAATTTTATATTATTTATTTTGCATTTAATAAAATAAAAAATTTTATGCTTTAGGAATAATAGATACTATTTTATTTACAAACTCAAAATATTCAGAATCTAAATATAAACTTTGTTTGAAACTTAAGTGAAAGAATAAAATCTATGCAGATAATTCGAAAAAGTTATCAATATGAAACAATCTATTACAATATATAACTTGCAAGTTATTTAATTAAATAAAATATTTGATAATCATATTTTTAAATTTTATTTTATTTTTATTTTTTTTACTAGTTCAATGTTTACAGAGAAATATATATAAATGTAACGAATTTAAAATCAAATTTTAGTATATAAAAACTTTAATATTTTATATATAAATATTGTGTAGTAGATGTTTAAAATAAGAATTGCAAAGCTTTAACTTTTAAGATAGTTTTTTATACTATTATATATTGTTTAGTTTGCTATTTATTCAAGCATTTATTTAATACTTACTTTTCAAATCATTATTTTTAAAAAAACTTTTTATAATTTTTTATTTTTTAAAACAAGAATTTTTTTTTTAAATATTAAGATAATCTTCTTAGCTAGTGGAATTTTATTAGAAATAAATTTTTTTTATAAAGAAGTTGTAGTTTTTCAAAAGTAATTATATATATAAATAATCACTTTTGAAAAACTGCATCTTCTCTATTTACATAAAATTTTATTTTGATAAATGTTTTGATTTTTTAAATTTATGCTTAATCAAATTTGATAAAATTTTTTGTCAAATAAAACAATTTGATTAGATACAGTAATTAATCCTATTAACAACATTAATTGAACTAAACTTAATTATTATTTTTATTAATGATTTTAGTTTTGGCAAGTTTTAAACTCTGTTCAAAGTAATTATTTGGATGCGTAATAGTTTCTATCAAGTGTTTCTCACCACCATCCTTAATATTCGAATCTTCCAAACATTTTGTAATTTCAAAATATTTAGTACAAGCAATTTGGTAATGTCTGCCTCTGACAAGGTCAAGAATTTCTTTCAAATATTCATCCTTTCTTAGACCAGTTTGTACCAAAAAAGCTTTCAAATTATCTTCAGAAAAATGTTTAAATGGACACCCATGTTGATCACCAGGACCTGGTTGTTTGTTCATAATTATTGACATACAACTAATTTCGAGAAATAATATATATTTATAATTATTAATTATTCAAATCACATTAAAAAAAAAAAAAAAAAAAAAAAAAACACTAATTTAAATCATATATACTTCAATGGCGTATAATCATGACGTTTGCCTTCCATACCAAAGTTATGGCGAATATTGTAGGCATATTCTTTCTGAAATGTATCATCAGTAATGTTTGAGAATGATTTTCTCCAAAAGATAAGAGCTTCTTCAACAGATAGACCAATTCCCTACACATTAAAGACATGAATTAATATATTGAATATTAAAATATTAATTGAAAATTTATTATAATATAAAAAAGGTAATAGAAAAAACCTTTAGGAAGAGGTTGTATTGTATTCTTCCAAAATGTTTGAGATGACGAAGTTCACGAAGTTTTCGATGCAAGTGTTGCATACATAATGGAAAATGTTCAACCAACTAATGCGTAAATTAAATGTTAAAATTAAAAAATTTATAGATATAAAAGTAAAAATGAATTGAACATAAATTACCTGGTCAACATTATCAGCAGTTACTTTACCAGTAACATTATTACTATTAACATAAGTTTTACCAAAATATTGCAGATTTATATTGTTTAAAAGCGGTAAAATTCTTTCATCATCTATACTTGGAAACGCCCTATTTGCTAACTATCAAAAATATAAATAATTAGGAAATTCATAATAAAAATGAACAAAAACAAATTAAATAACACTAACATCCAGAGCGGCAGAAAGTCTTTTACGAAATTCTCCCACGACAAGAGTAACTTGTTCAGATAATGGAACATAAGCTTTTCCAGCTTTTATATATACAGCGCGTCGTGAAACAAGATCTGGAACTTGTTCGAAATCCACCTAAAATTTATAAAAACAATATTATATATGACTAAAATTTAACAATTAATTTGTACAAAGTAATGAACCCATATTTTACAATAAAAAAAGTTTCCAGGTCCAACTTGATGTGAGGATTTGCGTGAGATAATTCATTTTTCATTGATTCTATTTCATCTTTGGTTAACTAATGTAGTTATTAAAGGTTATTAGAAGTAAATATTAAAATAAAAAATTATTATTATAAAATAAAGATACACGTACATCTTTCCAATTTAATTTCTCATTATTTAAGAAGGCTTGTCTTTCTTCTTTAGTTTCTTCAATAAATCGAATTCTACAACACAAACATATTAATAAATATATATATCAAGATATATAAAATTATACATGAAAATTACCTGAACCAAGCACATTCATATTTGATAAACCATTTACGCAATTCTTCACTTTTATAAAAAATAAAGGTTAAATAAATCATAATTTATTAGAAGTTAGCTTTCCAATTAATAGAACATACGTTCTGCAATAAGCTAGTCTCAAAATAAAATGAGATATATGATCTTTGCGTCGTTCTTGTTCTAATGGATATTTCTTGCTACTTTCAGTTGAGTGTAAAGGAAGATACTGATTTGAAATGTCGCGTATATGATCCGCGATCTGCATTTCACTCTTATTGCGTAGCATGGCACCTTCGATTGCTTTCAAGACTATAAGGTATAATAAATATGAATATTTATAATAATGAATTTATTTTTAAGATAAAATAAATAATTTGTTGAGTAATCACTTTGTAACCTATCTAGAGCGAAAGTTTCGAATTCTTCAGTCGTGATTTCTTCTATAGGTGGAGTGTTATAAAAGTTAAGTCGAAACGGATATTTAAGACCATGGTTTTTAACTTCACCAGTTTCAGAAGTTGAAAATTGTCTACGAGAGATCATGTTTAAATTGGAAAAGACTTTTGAACTTCCTAACTTTGGCTTTTCTTTATTACTTAATACGCGATTGATAAATCACGCGTCTTACAATTACACAAATCGGAAGCCAGTAAAATTTGTGAACTAAGCACGTGACGAGTTAACGAACGATTTTTTATTAACATTTTCTCTGAATTAACCATTTATTTGATTTTACTGCAAAAAAATTTCTCTAAACGCGCATATATACTAGTCTAAAGAGACTGTCACGCAATTTGACTATTTCACGTATCAAATGATGAGTAATACGAATAGTAGTGGTGTATGGTAAAGCAAAGTAGTGAAATATATTGTGTATAGTATGATTATAAAATTTATGCAAATGCGACGCTAAAGAAAACTTAAATGCTTACGTATTCGTCAAATATTTGATTCAAATATTTGAGGTGTGAGTGACGAATAAGCATTTTCTGTGTAAAATATATAGCAAATGTTTATTCGTCACAAAATGATTGCTCACACCCTATATACCAGAGCGTCCCAGGATTTATGAAAACAGCCAAGTCTAAAATGACCGTTAAATGGTAAAACAATGATCGTAGCAATTATTTTTCTCTTTTTTTTTTAAATTGTCTTTACAAATTTTATTCTATCATGAAAATAGTAATTCTTTTAGTGAAGATCGGTTTTCGGTGGAACCTGATACAGAAAGTTCGAAAATATTTCTTACTAAGAATTTAACTGCTAAAGAAAGGATCAGTACTCGTAAAACTTTAAAACAACTAAAATCCCGTATAAAATTTGATTTTATGTAAAAAAACTTAAAAATCTTTATTTTTGTTAACCATATGATAAATTTCTATCGAATTTTTATTCTTCGTCACACGATAATTGGTCACACCCTCCCCTCAAGTTCAACAAAGGTCACACAATTAAATTATTTATGATAATATATGGGCTAGTAGAGTTCCAATCCGGATAATTATCCGGATATTAATAGTAAATAGATATCCGGATAAATTCGGATTTGGATATCTGATGGATAAATGGATAAATGGATTATGGATTGAAACTCTATGGGCTAGGTGCTGGAGAAAGGGATAAATTGACAAAAAATAGATTTTGCAAAAAATTGATTTTTATATTATAAAATCTATATTAACTTATAGGAAAATACAAATTTCAAAAGATTATACTGTAAAATTTTATTAATGCACTAGTATTTCTTTCTTACGTAAAAATTCATTTTGAAAAAATTGTCAATTTGGTCCCTTTCTCCAGTACCTAGCCCATATATATCTGATATATATTATGTATGCTAGTTTTATATATTCAAATGCGATTTTTGTAATACCGCAAATGATTCGGTCTTAAAAAGCTTTCGTGATACGTACCACATAAACTGTGACTTAATCACGGTTCCAAGTCAGACGAAAAAATTTTTATTATTATTAAAAAAAAAAGTAATTTTTTTATTCTTCATATTTTTGGTAACTTATGACCCTCTAGATCATAAGTATGTTAAACACGTAGCTATAAATGCGGACATATTAATTATGACATACATAAAAATTTTAATCGTAACTAGTGGCCCACACCTATACATAAGCACATCATTATAAAGAAAGTAAAGGTCAAAAAGTACATATAAAACAATTCATTATAATTAATCCCACCGATGACATCTCTTCTTTTTTGTTTTTTGGGGTTGTTTTTTTTTTCTTTACAAAACTCCAAAGATTAAGATGTAACCTTTTTTTTTTTCTTTGATATTATACAATTATTATCCCAAACGGATCATACAACCAATTTTCTTCTTAAATCATTCTGTTTACTTCTGTGGTTTTCTTCACCACCTACTACTGCCGCAATATACATAATAGTGGCAATTAACAAGTATAAAGCTGGATTGACATTTTGATAGTTTAATATCGAGATGACACAGATAGGGACATATAATATGATTCGTGGGACAAAAGATGTTGTTACAAAAGTATCCTTGAAGGGGAAGACAGGCATTTCAATGGCAACAATTATAAAACCTAGGACGCTAATAGAGTTGTAAAAAAAATAATCATCATAAGTATAATGCAAAACGACGAATTGAAGATGAAAATTAATAAACTTACATGCAAATTATTGCAATAATATTTATAGGATCAAATATTGGTTCAAAGGAACTGGGAAAATAAATAAAAAGTAATATTAAAAGGAGTGACATTTTGTCGGTCTATCAAGAAATTTTGCAAAAATAAAAAAATTTAAAAATTGCAATGATTGGCCAACTATAAGCAATTATAAAGTACATTCCCGCCCCGACTCCATATTACCGACATGCTATTTCACCTACAAACATTTTTTCGACTAGACATCTATCTAACATTGCATCTTTTCAACAACATTTTTCTTTAAAAAAGACACTTCTTACAAGGGCATTAGTGGCACTCATTACAATTAACATCGGCTCGATTTATGGCGCTTTGCAAAAAGGTGTGACCCTGTGATTTTGACTGAAAATTTCTGCGATTTCTATGTAAATTGCCTATTGATGAAACAGAAAATCGCGTGATTTTCACATGACATCATGATCTGCAAAGGTCACACCTTTTTGGCATAACAGAATTAAGTGTTCATGTAGGAGAATTGCTCAGTTAGAAAAAGTTGCCGAAAACATATGGGCCTATACTTGCCCCAAAACTATAGGGATTTGGGATGAATTTATTATGTTTGGGGATTTTGGTCAATCTTATTATGTTTTTGATTTGGGTAAGATTTTGAGGATTTGTAGTTTGGGCGGCAAGTATATGTAGGCATTCAAAAGTAGAAAGAAACCAGGGAATTTGCAACTAAACTATCACAGTTTATGTCTTCATAAATTTTAAAGCCATTTTAAAAATTTTAAAAGTGAAAAAAAATCATCGAGTTTCAAAATTTCTTCTCGCTTTTAAATTTTTTTTTTTTTTTAAATTCATGAAGACATAAACTATGAAAGTTTAGTTATAAATTTTTTTTTACAATGTCAAATTCCCTGATTTCTACTTTTGAAGGCCCATGTAATGTCGGGTATATGCCTTGTCGGAAAAATGATCTGTAGGTTAAATAGCATGTCGGTAATACGGTGTCGGCTGGCTAAAAAATGACTTTCGAGAAATCAGCAACCCATTTTAATAATTTATTACAAAATTACTATCTTATCGGCACTGTTAACTCTTAAAATATTATAATAATAAAGTACTAAAAAGTACTTTATAAGCACTATTAGAATAGCTGATTTCTAGTAATTCAAATTTTGAACTATTTTTGTAAAGAAAAAATTGTAACCGTAAAGATAACTTACTTCGTTAAAGGCTCGAACGTAAAAATGCGATAAAATAAACCAAATATACCACCAATAGTTTCAACTATAAAAAGATAAAGTTTGTCATATATACTTTGTAAAACAAGACGACACAAAAAATATTAATATCTTGAAAATACATACAAACACCAGCGTTGAGTGCAATCAATCTGGCCCATTGACTCCAAATAACTTTACCCATTTGATTATATTTTGTTATATGTACTTTTGAACGGGAAAGATGTGCTTTTTTTTTTTTAAATCACTGCTCTGCAGTATTTTAGGAGTCTTTCTTTTCACAACAATCGTACTTTCTGTAACCTGACAGAAAGTAAATAAATAAACTTTTTTATGAAGGGGTGAAGGACAGAGAGGGGTAAAAGAAAGCTAAAAAAGAAAAAGACACTCCCGAGCATACCTTATATTAAATTTGGGTAGCTACTCCCGAGAAACGAATAGGGGGGATCTGTCTCACCATACATACTTATTAGGATTGTAAGAAAGTACTGGTTTCATGAATAATCTAAAAAATTTCCCGAAACTAAACAAAAGATATGAATTAAAAGAATATAGCGAAATATGCATTTTTTTAACACAAAAAAAAAAGCTTTTTTCGAACTTGTAATACATGAAAAACATTTACGAGTCCTTTTTCAGCTAAAAAGTACCTACAATAGGAATAGAATGTATCACAGCGTTTTATATTGTTTTATATTATAGTCTCGTTTAAGTAGTGTTAATCATAAATTATTTAAGTTGTTACACGAAATTAATTTTGTGAATCGTTCGTGTAAATTCTACCGCTACGTTCTGATTGATAATTGATTGCCTAAAAAGCTTAGTATATATCTAATTATTTTACGGTACTTTTTAGGAAACTCGCGTAATTTACCCCACTATGTCCTACGTATAATATAACATATTTCTATGATCCCTGTTAATTCCCGTTAATCCCCGTTAATCCCACGCCGTTGTGTTGCTATTTTCCTACTAAAACTATGGCAAACCGAAGTACCTGTAATATAAAGAATATCCAATTACTACCGGTAAATCTGTACGCTGAATAGAAAGATAACGAGTTAAACATGTCAGTTTGTACGATTTTTTTCTATTAATCATAAAATTAAAAAAACATTACTACAATATAGTATAATATAAATATATCTGATATGTGTTTTTTTTTATTTTTGCGCAAATTTTTTAAAACAGGGCGAGAAACATGTCTCTACGATGATAAAACCTATTTCAATACGTATAACAATCACATTATTAATGTTAAGGATCTATTATTATTAAATGAGATCTAATGCATCAAAGATATTCAAATTCCTAATACAGTAAGTAGTAATGATTGGTTTGATTGAACAGTCTCACCGTTAATCATTATATATCAGATATCTAATAATTTTTCACGTAAGCATGCATAAGTTTAATACGGAACATGCAACTGAATAAGGCTCTTGAATGAAACTAAAATTTATCTGATAGGTTTTTAAGGATTATCACAAAACCCCTTATTCGCTTCACTAATCATTATCGTTATCCTTAGTCTATCCGCTAAAGCCATCCCCCAAAAAAATTGCGTACGTACCTGAATTTAAAATTAATACCGATATTCGAGTAACTTCACATGAAAGGCAGAAGTGACTTGTTAAGAAAATTTTTGATAGATTTATATTTGTTTAATGATGAAAAATGACTTATAGAAAGTAAGGATTGGACTATGCCAAGGGAAAAGGGCATGTTTGTTTTTAAGTTTATTTGTCTAATTTAGCCCTTCTGATCGACAAACACATAGGGCTGAATCAGACAAATAATCAATAATAAACTTAAAAAACCAACATACCCTTTTCCCTTGGCAGCACTCAGATGGTTACCCGAGACATGTAGTAAAAAAACTTTCTTTATTTAAATCATTTCTTAACAGTTAATAGTGATACCGGTCCAACGGTCAGGGCCGATGGGCGGATCGATAGGGTGTTCAACAATCTAATAAATCAAAGGATATTACGGGACAAGTAAATCATATGATCCAAACTTGATTTTCAAGGCACAGACCCATATGTTCGGATTTTTTAAAGGTTGATTTCACATACGAATTTATATATGAATTCGTTTAAGTACATTTTTTTACCCACCTACCAGACAAAATTGCATCGTATTTTTTTTTTTTTTAACTATAGCTCTAGACTAGCTCTACACTGTAATAGAGCCGGTTTTGTAATAACTTATAAAAAAGTTTTATTCTAATTTTATGGAAAGGTAACAACAATTATTGCAAAAACGGCTCTATTACAGTGTAGAGCTAGTCTAGAGCTATAGTTAAAAAAAAAATAATAATAATACGGTGCAATTTTGCCGTTAGGTAGGTTAAAAAATGTACCTAAATCAGTGCGAATTCATATATAAATTCGCATGTGAAATCAACCTTTAAAAAATCAGAAAATATAGTACCCTAACTATTGTTTGATTTATTGGTGTGTTGAACACCCTAGCGGATCGACCCGTTTTGTGAGAATCACTTCTGAATATCGGCCACCTAAGTCAAATTTTATTAAGCTGAGAATCAACTAAGGATCGGTGATCAGTTCTTCAAGTGTAAACATGTTAATAAAATTCATACCCGATAAATTTAGAAAGAACGGGAATTTCGGAGTATACAATTGAATCAACACAAAATATAGGACTTAATGGGTTTAAACTGATACTCGAAGATGTTCAAAATTAGGGAATTTACAAATAAGGGCCCAAAAATGTAAAATAATTACATATAGGGGCCCCATTTTAGAAAATTTTACTATATC